TGAAGCAATTATCAAACTGCCGTAAATACTTGAGCTTTGCAGTAAGCCTCGAAGTCAGGTGGTGTCACCCAAACAGGAGGCGTTGGATCAAAACAGACAAGAGCATCCACAGATAGTGTGGAACAATTAGATATCCACATGCGAAGATAAGGACTGTAACAGGCGTCGCACCACAGAGGTAAATGAAGTGGACGTGGATTACTCCCTACACACAAAACTGCAAGGGTGTGAGGACGTGGTAAGAAGATGGCCGTCTTCAAGCTAAAAGAGTCTCCCCAGAAGCCAATCATGTGGGCCATTGATCTTGAGCTCCAGCCTCTAGACCTGTGAGAAATGTGTCAGTGGTTTAAGCTGCAGTCTCTGGCCCGGTTACAGCAGCCTGCGTGGTGTGGACTGACACTCTGCTCCACACTGAGCACCCCCCGGGTGTGCAGCTGACACTGCTTGCTCTGCACATACTGTCACAGCGGATGGTCTCTGCCACCTTAGAGGAGTGTCAGACTACCACATGAGGAGTCTTCACACACTTCATGGGAAGGGGGTATTACAGAAGAACTGCATGAGCTTCAAATCTCGGTTCAGCCTTCTTATCAGCCCCCAAACAAGGATGCAATCATTGCATAAAATATTTTGTAAACTCATGATTTAACTCCATTTTCCACAAACTTGTTACAATATCTTCACATACCCCTTCACAGAAGAGGTCACAGAGGCCCTGGGAAGCCAGGCCAGTCCAGCCGACACGGGATGATCTGCTCAGTACCAGCGGGGCTGCACTTCTAAGTCATGCGTGCTGTGACTCCAGAATCCCCGCTTTTCCCAGGGCATACACACCAGGGCTACCACCCATGTACAGCCATGGGGTTCACCTGGCTGGGGCAGGCAGGGAAGCAGCAGGGACGGTGCCCGTTCTGCTCCTACAATGAAGAGGACCAGAAAGCAGTGGCTGAATCAGGCCAGGGAAGATCCGAAGGCTGGGGAGTAACTATCTGGGATAGGGGCCGAAATATCTGCAGCAAAATGGGAACAGAAAAGTGTGGGAGGCTGTGCACCAGTGAATATCGCTGGTTTCTCAGAGAGCAAACAATTACACAATGAGAAAGGCCATGATTGGCTCCTCTTCAAAACCTCGCCTTCAGAACCATACTCGGATTGGCCACTTCCCATAGCAAATCAGTGAGCTTAGAATCCCTCAGATTTGCATATTCGGCACCTCATGATTGGTCCACAAAGCAATCAATCATAACCTACCTTTTGCTATCCTTCATTCAACCAATCACAGCCCACCAATGTGTATATAAGCACGATCTCTGGCCCATAATCGACAGACGACCAGGAAGACGACGACTGAAGAGCCCGAAGAGCTGAAACACCGCGCAGTCTCCAGATGACCTGGGAGACCCTGAAGAGCTGTAACACTACATCGTCTCCGGACGACCCTGAAGAGCTGTGACACCGCGTCATCTCCGTGCTGCTCACGGTAGACGATGTGACCCTTAAGAGCTGTGACACTGCGTCATCTCTGTGCTGTACCGTGCTGCCCACAATAAACGGACGACACTGTCGTCTCCGTGTTGTAACACTACGCCGCTTGTCCCGGCTCTCACTCCTTCACTCAGGAAACCTGTTCAGCTGTCCCCCGGGGGGTCGGGACAGAAAATCTCTCCAGCTGCGGTTAGGCATGGGTGTTCTTAGCTACGATGCCAAATGTATAAATCAGCAAAAGAAAAAAAATAACAGGCTGGGTTTTATCAAAAAGATGTCTGCTTTTTAAAAGAGAATAAAAAGACAAACCACAGACTGAAAGAAAATATATGCAATCACATATTTAATAAAGGACTTAGAGCCAAAATACATAAAGAATGTTCCAAACTCAATAAGAAAACAATCTATGTTTTAAATGGCCAAAGATTTGAATAGACACTTCACCAAAGAAGTACACAAGTGGTAAATAAGCCCGTGGAAAGATGCTCAGTATTATTAGATATTAGATAAATGTGAATCCAAACTACGGGGTTGTCAGAAGACTCGTGACGCATTTATGACAAGATACCACTGTGCAGCCATCGAGATGAAGAAAACTCAAAGCGTGGGTGGCCACGTCGTGTGCCAGCAAGGACGTGGAGGAACCGGAACGCTCGCTCACTGCTCCTGGACATGGGAAATGATGCAACTGTTTGGGAAAAGTTTGGAATTTTCTTCAAGGTAATGATCCATCTACTGTGTGCATAGCCATTCCACTCCTAGGTATTTTCCCAAGAAAACTGAAAGCATATGTCCACACAAAGACTTGCACATGAGTAGTTATAATAGTTTGATCTGTACCAACCCCTAACTAAAACAAACCCAGTAACTGCCAACAAATGAGCAATAAGTAAACTGTGGCATATCTGCCCCATGGCATACTACTCGGTAATTTTAAGAAATGAGTTGTTGATACACACAACATGGATGAACCTCAAAATAGTCATGCTGTCTAAAAAAACCCAGACCAAATATAAATATATATTAATATACTGTCTAATTCCATGTCTGTAATAGTCTAGAATAAGAAAACTCACCTACAGTGACAGAAAACACATCAGTGTTTACCTGGAGATGGGAGGGGCCAGGAAGGGCAGAAAGGAGGACTTACAAATGGAACAGGAGAACTTTCTGGAGTGATGGATACATTTATTATCCTGATGAACAGTTAGTTTCACAGGTGTCAAAACTTAAGAAGTTATATGCTTTAACTATGTGCAGTGACTTAAGATTCAACTCTACTTTGTCAAAGCCTGATTTTAAAAGAAGTTCTTAGTGAATTAAGAAAATTAGCAAAATTTTTAAGATAGATCCAAATGAAATATCCAGGCTGTGGCAGAGAGAAGCAACATTATCGCAAGCAGAGGGGAAGAGACATCAAACAGAGAGTCTGATAGGCATTATTTCCGAGTTTAGAAAGGCAGGAGACCGAGTGGAATGGAATCAATGTTTGAAGAGTGAGGGCGAGAATTTTCTAGGGAGACATCAATCCAGAAATCATAAAAGCCCAAATAGATCCTAATGGAATAAATAACAAGTAATGCACACCTATATACATCAAAATAAAACTATGGAACACCAAAGATTAAAAGGAGATCTTAAAAGTAGCCAGAGATAAAAGAGTCTCAAAGGACAGATGAGTGGGCTGCCAGTGGACTTCACCACATAATGGAAGCCGAAGGATGGCACAGTGACAGCTTTGATGTGCTAGGAAAAAGTGACTGTCAGCCGAGAAGTTGTACAGAGCAGAAACATTTCCGACAACCATGATAAAATAAGTGTATTTTCAGACAAATAAACAAGAGCACTTTCTTCTCTTAGGGAAATATTAAAGAGTAGGCTTTGGACAGAAGAAAATCCCACGAGGAAGATCTGATATGCAAAGAAGAATGAAAAGGCAAGATACCAGCAATTAAGCGGGAGGAAAGGGGTGGGGTTGAAAAGACAAACACCAGAATTGGAAACGTACCTGCCAGTGTGTGTCACAGGCAACGAATGCATACGGATCTAGAACACATACAGAATCCTGTATGTTTATTTGGCATTCAAGAATCTATTGATAAGAAACATCGGAAAAGCATTAGGGGCAGGGGAGACGGTTCTGTGACAGCGAGCAGAATGAGTGAGCATCCCCTTGTGCACAACAGGAGAGATCTTCAAACACACAAGGGGGCTTAAAGACCAAACTGGAGCGTGTACGTGTCACACAGTCCTCACAGACACCAACCAATACTGTACATTACTGACAGGTGCACCGATTCCCAAAGTTACAAAAGCATGGATTGAAACAATTTGCATGAATACATAAAACTGCCTAATTATTTTTTAAATTAATTTTTATTTTTATTTTCTATATAAGCATAAGATATAAGGTACATTTTTTCAGATAGATTCTTGCTATAGGGTGCATGCGCTCACCAGAGAGATAGAGAGACAGAAAGCGAAAAATCGCCCTCCGGGGGGGATGGCCACGATGCAATTCCTTCTCCTCTAGTCTTCTCTTGGGATTTTGGGCACACACGCACACATGCCCAGCGTGAGTTTGAAGCCACCAGGTCCAGAACTGAAGCCACGATCGGACATGTGGGAGTAGCCACTACGCCATCTGCTGGTCCCTATAAGGTCAATTTTCGTTTCTAAGGTTCAGAAGCAAATGTGATAGAATGCTAATATTTGCTCATTCTACTCATCATTACCCAGGAATTTGTTACGTTTTCCCAAACTTTCCTGTATTTTTAATTCAGAGAGAGAGAGGGAGGGAGGGAACAGACACTCCTACATGAGTCCATCATCTCTGTGAGCTAAAGTCTACGGGGCAATTTTGGCTACCGTAAGTCATTCTTGGTAGACCGCGTAAGACAACTGATATGAAAATAGGAAAATGAATCAAGAAGTAGGCTTCTTTCCTGAGGAGAGAACACAAGTGTTCGATGACAGAGTGTGACTGGCGAGGTGGCGAGGGGTGGGGAGTAGCGAACTACACACACGCATGGGCGGTGTGTGGACAGGCAGCACGGGAGGTGGGATGAGGCCTCCGCCCTACTCCCAGAACCTGCGAACGTGTCAGTTCATGGCACACGAGCGTTGCCAGATGTGATTACAGGCTTTCACTTTAGGACGTGAGGTCACTTGACTTACCCAGGTAGGCCCAGCCTAATCACATGCGTCCTTGAACACAAAAGGAGAGGCAGGAGACTAGGTCACAGGGGCCCGAACGAGGAAGGAGGAGAGATTTAGGAGTTCAGGAGGGGCTTCACTCGCGCTTGCTGGTTTGGGACAGTGAGGAAGAGAAGGCGCAAGCTAAGGAACGGAGTGGGCAGAAACAGGTCCCCCAGAGCCCCGGGAGAGGATGCAGCCTGTGACGCCTCACTGTTGGTCCAGCGAGGCCTGCCCTGGACGTCTGGCCCACAGAGCTACGGAATCACCGTGTGTGCTGCTCAGAACAGTACACTAAGCTAGGCCATTTATTACCGCAGCAATGGAACAAACGCCAGGCAGGCAGGCCCCTGACTTCATCCCGTAGACATGCTTCTGTCTGATCGCGTGCAAAGTAAACACATGTAGAACAAACCCCAAGTCACTGCGGACTTCTCTTCTAAACTGGCCACAAACTACTACGTGAAAAATAGAAGAACTCCAGTATGTAGAGCCCTTTTGAAGAGGAGAATAAGCCCGTCTGATCAGGTCAAGTCCACCACCGCGCCCCCCAGCCCCCGGGACAGGGAGCACACAGGGCATGCTCACAGGGGGTGGGGTCATCTCAGGGACCGTCCTAGCATTCTGTCCACCACACCACCCACAGGGCCATCGCCAGCATTGAACTCAGGACGCTAGCTGGTGTGTGTGAGACTGGGGTCCCGGTCTCCTGGCTCCACAGCGGTGCACTTGGGGACCTATCTGGTCTCTCCTTGTAGCCTGCCATAGCTCATGGTGGGTTTCATCCCCTGCCTCCCTGTGCTGCGAGAGAAGCCACACCCTCCCCTCCCAGTACTTGCTACAGTGGCGGCTCCGTCCTCTAGAATGGTCCCCAAATCCCCCTGGCTGTCACATCCTGTGACACTCTCCCACAATGCATAGTCTGGCCTGGGTAACAAGCAGGGTGTGGCAGAGATAACAGAGCGAGTTCCCAGGCTGGCTGGGAAAGAAACCAGGGCCT